CCAATTCCTCTACCAATTTTTCTCATGACTCAGGAACCAAAAAACTATATAAATTTCCCAAAAAATATACTGTCAGGAAGCTCAATTGTCTTAAAGGCTTAAATGAAGAAAGTCTGAGTCTACCTTATTTATTGCTATACCCTTGCACTGAGTGACTATATTATATTCACAATTATAACTGTTCATTGAAAGACTGAGTAAATAAATATATTTATCACTATTTTCTTAAACTGGAAATAATTTTGCTCTTCACTAGAGTTCTCGCTTTATTACAACATGTTGCTTTGTCTGGTACCTTTTGATGTGCATGTTCTTTGGTTTTTTGATGAGTTTGTAAACAAATTGTAGGTAGGGACCCTGCTATTCACCTGCATTTTCCCTTAGTACCTAGCAGAATGCCCTACAACAGTCAAGACAGTCAACCCTCCATATGTAAGGTTTCTGCATCCATGGATTTAACCATCTAGGGCTCAAAAATATTCAATAAATGAATAAATAATAACAGTACAATAGTACAAAAACATTTTAAAAATGCAAGTAAAAACAACTATTTGCATTGTTACATTGTGTTGGGTATATCAGTAACCTAGAGATGATTTAAAGTTTATGGGAGGAGGTGTATGGGTTATATGCAAATACTACACTGTTTTATCTAAGGGACTTGAGCATCCTCAGATTTTAGTATCCCTGGGAGTCCTGGAACCAGCTCCTTGTGGACACCAAGGGATGACTGGGTTCATTAACTATTTGTTGACCACATAATTAATAAAGCAAATCCTTAATCATATCAACATGTTTATACTTAATCATATCAATGTGTTTGAATTTTTTTTTTTTTTTAGTTGGAGTCTCACTCTGTCGCCCAGACTGGAGTGCAGTGGCCGCTCCCAGCCACTGCAGCCTCGACCTGTTGGGTTCCGGCAAGACTTCTGCCTCAACCTTCCATAGCTGGAACTACAGGCACGCACTACCACACCCAGCTAATTTTTTATTTATTGTAGAGATGAGGTCTTACCAAGTTGCCCAGTTGGGTCTCAAACCCGTGGGCTCAGGCAATCCACTCACCTCAGGCTCCCAAGGCGCAGGATTACAGGCTGAGCCACCGAGCCTAGCTAATGTGTTTAAATTAAACAGTACCCCAAAAGTTTAAATTTTCCATCCACCCTGAGATAATTTATGAGCCCATTTTGGTTCTTCTTGAACAAAGAGGAGATACTTCCCAGTAATTCCCTCCCCACCATACCAAGATCTTTCTAGAAAAAAAAAAAGTTATCACTAAATCTTTTTAAAAGTACATCTGTTTTTCCACTTCTCTGTCCTCCTCCTTAGAAAATTTGAATTGAAATCTATAACTAAATAATAATTTCCCCAATTTTACATTGTAATGTAAATTGTTTGTAAGTCAAATTTCTTACACTTCCTTATCTCCTTGCAAATTTAAATACCTTCCCTACCATCCTTCCCTAAATAAATGTCCAGTTCTCACACTCCCTTGTCCCTTTAATTGTGCTACTATGAATTTTTCTAATCAGTATAAAAGCTTGTTGAGATCCTTTTTTAAAGGTCATTTTGCTAACAGGATTTTCCTCTTTTCTTGGAATCCAACCTAAACTCTACCAGCCCCTGACCACACTGTCCGTGGTTGCCTGTGTTTTATGCACTCCCTTTCTGCCACTGTTGAATTGAAACCATTATTGTCCTCGTTTGTTCCTTCCTGCGATAATTGTTTCCAAAATACTCTAACTACAGATTTTCAACCTCACTAGAAGAATTATTTGTCATAAATATAATATTGTCTATTAGACTAAAACATGCAACAGACCCATCATTACATACTTCATATGGTGAGGAGCAGTAGACCTTGATCATTTTCTTCATGTTATGTCCAAAAAAGAACATCAAAAACATAAGCATCTCTCTCATCCTTTTAAGTTCATCTCTAAAGTTTTTCGGCATAATTTTAAACACTTGAAAGAACCTAACTTCCCATGCATTGTAAATATTGACATTTAAAAATAAGGTGAATCATGCCTCTGTTTTAAATGTTCCAAATGGAACCAGAACACTATAGCAACTTGAAACTCATCATCTATATACAGAAACACGAACAGGCATGCATTTCCTTAAACAGTAGATATTTTAAAAGCTCTCTCAGTCTCTCTCTCTCTCTCTCTCTCTCTCTCTCTCTCTCTCTCTTTCAATAGCTTTAGGGAATACAAACAGTGTTTGGCTACATCTTTACATTGTATAAGTGGTGAAGAAATCTGGGCTTTTAGTGGCTTTTTTCTTGAATTCATACTTCCATCATGTTTCCCCCTCAGCATTTTTTCCTAATTGGTTACCTAGTTGTGCTTAAATATATTTTATTACCATCTCCCTATAAAAGTACATATACAATTAAATTTATTTTTAAATGTATTTTTTTTTTTGCACCCCTCCCCCGGTCCTACCCCTTTAAATGTATTCTGGCCATAAGCCTCTAAGTGTTAAAATTTTAATTTTGAGGCTGGGCGCAGTGGCTCAATCCTGTAATCCAAGCACTTTGGGAGGTTGAGGTGAAGGGATTGCCTGAGCTCACAGGTTCGAGAACAGCCTGGGCAACTTGAGGAGACCTCATCTCTACAATGAGTCAAAAAAAAAAAAAAATTAGCCAGGTGTGGTAATGTGCACCTGTAGTTCCAGATGCTTAGAAGGCTGAGGCAGACGGATCACCTGAGCCCAGGAGGTTGATGCTGGGGTGGCCGTGAACATGCCACTGCACTCCAGACTGGGCAATGAAGTGAGACTCCAACTCAAAAAAAATTTAATTTTGTATTACCGTTCCAATTATTACTAATTCACAATTGTTTGCTACATATAAATAAAGTAGAAAAAAGATACATAATTACTAAATAGAAAAATTTACCTTCTAATAATAAAGGTATAGCAGGTTTCTTTTTTGTAATTTCAGTTATCTGAAGCTAAATCTTACTTTTTGTCAGAATAAGACACTTTTCATCTTTACAGACTGTTCATACAAATAAGTGAAAACAAAGTAGACCTGTTATGGCAATGATTTAATTCTTTGAATTCCAAAGTTACTGGCAAATATCATATAGTGATCTATCATCTTACATAATTTTTAATGATCTACCATCTGACAACTCAATCAAATCCTCTTTAATTTGGTCAAAAGCAAAGAGTGTAAAGACATCCACCATTAGAGTTACCTATCATTAGAGTCATTTAATGTTACAGTTTAAGTACAGCAAAGAGGCTTTACCTAGATTTACCAAAAAACTATTACTTATGCCTTATACTCATCTGCTTAGAGTCATCTTGTTCACTTGAAAGTACTCAGAAATAGTTGAGAAAATGACCTTTAACAATGTTATTTTTTTAAGTGATCTTTTTTCTTTATCACTCAATCTAAATACATTTTTGTCAAAACCTTGGGCTTACAGATTTAGAATTTTGTTTGTGGAAAATGTCCATGATATGGCTACTGAAAAACCGGGCCTCATCATCAAACCAATCAGTCAAACCAGACTTCTTGTGTCAGTTCAAATAAACATATTGTATCCCCATGACAACTACTTCACTTCTGAATTCAGAACATCAACATAGGCCACCGTACCTTATTTCTAATGCCATATTGTGTTCTGCATAGAAATATGTGTAAGATGGGAAAATACAAAGCCTTACTTGGGGTTTTTGATGCCTTAATTGAAGGATGCCTCATCGACACTAATATATCAAATTACTCCTTTGTAAGTTGCCTCAGAGGTATACCTGGGGCATAATGAAATTCTGATGTATGCAAGGTACTCCTTATTTTGTTAAAATGAGAGAAAGGCAAATGAGAAAGAGAGGAAGGAAGAAGGAACCAACATGACATCTTTCCTCCAGGTGTATTCTCAGACAGATCAGCTTCAGGAAAGTGTCCAGATAGACGCAAGCTGAGCCTTGGAAAAGATTCCTTTAAAGCCATGGTGCCCATGCATCTCCTAGAAAGTCTTCATGTACCCCTAGCAAGACACATAAAACAAACCAGGTATGCTTACCGAGATGTGAAACAAGAAACCTTAATAATGCCATCTCATTCATTGCATAACTAAGTAAATATTTTAAAGATGACCATAGATCCAAACTACAAATACTTTTTAAATAAACTTCTCATCACCCACAAAATAACGATGCTTCTTATTGGGAAAGAGTGTGTAAGTCTCCTAAGTTTGCCTTTCTAACTTGAAGAATGTCAGTCTAACTTTGTAGTCCTCCACTGGAACTTACAGTTCTACACCATAAACATTATAAATATAAAGCAGAACGACAAAAGCTTAAACATAAATGTAAGCCAGGCACAGTGGCTCAAGCCTGTAACCCCAGCAGTTTGGGAGATTGAGGTAAGAGGATTGCCTGAGCCCAGGGTTCGAGACCAGCCTGGCCAAACTGGTGAGATCTCGTCTCTACAATAAATCAAAAAATTAGCCGGGCGTGGTGGCATGTGCCTGTAGTTCCAGTTACTCAGAAGGCTGAGGTGAAAGGATCGCCTAGGCCCAGCAGTTTGAGGCTGCGGTGGCCGTGAGCATGCCACTGCGCTCCAGACTGGGCGACAGAGCAAGACTCTGACTCAAAAATAACAAAAAAACAAACAAAAACCCATAAATGTAAAGCAGGAACAATGACTCAGCATGCTAAGCAACTCAAAATGGCCCTTGCTGCTTGAGGCACATTAGAACTTATATTTTCTGCAAACACAAAACTCAAAAAGCCATGGCCATTCATTACCACCTGTAATAACAACAGCAGTTATTTAGAAAGGCAGTTGAATCCAGGAGGTTCAATAAAGCCAGTTTGAATATTCAGAAAGAAAAGTTGTCAAACAGAATGATTTATATTTAAAGATAAACACTTTAGTAGAGTTTTGAATTCACATGATTTTTGAAAGGGGATGAAAAGATCAGTTTAGCATATATATATATATATTCATTATTTCATTCAATTCCAATTATACTCACTGCTTCAGTGTGAATAGGATGCACCGCAAAAAGTAATGCTGTAACAAAAGCAAGTCCACGATTCTTGAAGACGGTTTTATCACAGGTGTACATCAGCACAAGAGTCACTAGGCAGTGTAATATTACATTCACTGCATGAAAGTAGAATGGGTTCATGCCAGTCAAAAATATGTTTAGCCTGTAAAAAAGAAAAAAGAAAGCACTGCATTAGCGAGGAACACAACATAAGCCCAAGGAAAGCAGAGGGAATCTATCTTTTAAAAAGATAAGCAATTCAACCAATTACTTTTAAATGATTCCCAGCATTGGGTTATTTTTTATGATGGGGCATGTGTCACATTTTTCCCATTCAGAATTGTTCTATCTGCAGAAATCAACGCACATACAATATTATTTCAGGAAACTTCCATCTCACTAAGAAGGCAGGCAAACAGGTGCTGAGCCTGTTTTCCCCTCACCCTGTGACTGACGCAAACACAATATTTTTGCTTTCACTGTGGCTCCTCCTAAGCAGCTGAGTGCCCAAAGGCAAGTCTAAAGTGCTGTGGGTCAGAGCCACCAACCACAAAGATGAACAGAAACCATGAGACTGTGATTGCAATCACAGTTGGGACAAATCAGGCATGAATGTGTTCTCTCACTCATGGTGCCACCAGAATTTACATTTCCAGATTATGCATCTAGAAGCATTATCTAATTACCACCCCACAAGGGGATCTTTAGGGCACCTACACGCTATTACTAGTGGCAGCTGAAATAAATAGATGAGCAAAAGCATCGTGTTTCAGAATGTGTATTAAATTTTTTTTTTTTTAACACAAATGCCCACAGAACTCAGTACCTGATATCTAAGACTCTAACAAAGAAACTAAGGAGAACCACAAAGAGAAGAGAAATCAAATGTTCAACATCTTTAAAAAAAGGAGGAAAAAACCCCTTTCTAAGTCAAAAATGCAGAACAGAGAGACTTCTGAAGGTTGCCTTAAATTTAATAGTAAGCTATAATGCCCCTAGTTGAGTCTGTGGGATTACAGAAAAAATATACTTGTACAGGTTATGGTTCTTTTGGGGGAGCATTTATACCCTAAGAGGAATCTCTGATAGTTGTCTATATTCTAGTCCATTTTACCAAAACAGTAATTCCAGATCTTTAATTCTCCTGCCTTTGGTCTGCTTCTCCTGCAGAAACAACTCCTCTTTGCCAAAATAACTGAGAATGAAAAAGTCAACTTTAGAGATGACATATGTGTATCCTAAATAATTGACATGATTCATACACAGTTTTAACCTACGGATTTTAAATATCTCGGGCTTTATTTGGACATATGAATCCAAATGTCATCGTTACTAATACACTCCATTTTCACTCCCAATGAAGTCATCATGGTCCTAACTAAGCCTAGAAAAATGAATTGTGTTGGATCCAACTCCAGGGTCCAGATGCAAGATTTGACCCAGCTGTGTGTTGGCAGACCTGTGAGTCTGTGACCACCCCAGCATCCTCAATACAGGAGTCTGGTGGGAAATTACCCATGCAGAGGGAAAGAGAAATGGGCAATGAATGAGGGAACTGGCAGATCCAACTAAAGCAGGGAGAACCACATCATATGCAAGTACAGGAGGAGTCACAGGTGGCAAGAGATCTACTGGAAGTTAGAAAGCTACGGACAGGAGAACTGTAAAAAGCAAGACCAAGTACAGGTCTTTGGAGAACTTGGATGCAGTTGCCTGAGAGCCCATATCCCTGAGGCTGATTTTACACTGTTTTCCACTTAATCAGGCTGAGCTTTCCAGACCAACTAAGTCATTGATTTAAAATTCATTCACACCAGTAATTATGGTGAGAGAAAATAGGCATTCTCACATCTGACTGGTGGGTATCCAAATTGAAACTTCTCTAGGTTGGCAATATGCATTGGCTTTAAAAGATACATACCTTTTAACCGAAAATTCAATTTCTAGAAATTTTCCATATGGAAATGACCAGAAAAGCATTCAAAGATTTTATATATATAAATGTATATATGTATTTATAAATGTGTGTGTTTATATGCATATATATATGGATGGATGGGACATACATGTTTATGTACAAGACTATATCCAGGGAGGGAGGAGAGGGCAAAATAAAAGAATATATCTCACTCTGTAAAGTATAAAAATGGCAACAGTGAGAAAGTCCAGACACCTAATAAACCAAATCCTTGATAAATGTGAATATTCTCACAGGTACTAAAATTTGGAACATAAATTTGGATTACAAATAATAGTACCATGAACAAAAAAAGAAGGGCCAGGCGTGGTGGCTCAAGCCTGTAATTCCAGCACTTTGGGAGGCCGAGGTGAGAGGATTGCCTGAGTTCAGCAGTTCAAGACCAGTCTAGGCAACTTGGTGAGACCTCGTCTCTACAATAAATCAAAAAATAAACCAGGTGTGGTAGTGGACGCCTGTAGTTCCAGCTACTTGGAAGGCTGAGGCGGAAAGATCACCTGAGCCCAGCAGGTTGAGGCTGCAGTGGCAGCGAGAGTGCCTCCAGCTTGGACAACAGAGTGAGTGAGACTCTGACTCATACACATACACAAAAAGGACAGAAGTCTTATTTTTCCAGAATATCTGTTACCCAACTATTTGGAAAGTAAAAAGCATCATTAAAGATGGTGTCATTACTATATTACCATACTCTTATAAGGTATTTAAACGCGCATTCCTTTCCCCTTCCAAAAATGGAATAAATGATATGAGTCACCTTTGGGGTTCATATGCATCATATCTGAAAATGTGTAGGCATTATCCATGTGGATTATTATTTCTGGAAATTAGTTAGAACAGAATTCCTGGTGTTTTAAGTGAATTCAATTAGACTCTAAAATATAAAAATACTCACTGAATGAAGAACCCCTGCAGTAATAGAGTAATGGTATGAAAACCCCTCACCTGGAACCTAACATTGGGGAATCTAAGCTTTAAGAAATCACCCAGAATCCAGAGTTAAGAGAATTAGAAAGATGGACATTGAATTCTTTAACTTATAGACTACTGAGCTTGATACAAAATAATAACAAAAATATCTAACATTTCCTATACCTGAGCACAGAGAAAAGAATTTCTGATTCTGGGAGCCAATATGGGTTCTCAAAAATGGGGGTTAAATGTTCAACCTCATAAGAGAGGAAGTGATGGATACATCACATCTTTATTTTAACAAAGGCATTTGTCAAAATCTCTCAAAACCTCCCTGCATACAAGATAGCCTAAGATGAATTTGTAGCAAACACGAAGAGTAGTGAATAATAAATCAATGTCTCCTTGAACCAAGAACTCCAGTGTATGTCACAGGGTTCCGGTATTACCTCTGTGCTGTCCAATAGATTTGTCAAAGAATTAAATGAAACTATAGTATATGCTTATCAAGATTACACCATTGGGAGGCTGAGGTGAGTGAATTGCCTGAGCCCGCGGGTTCGAGACCCGCCTGGGTAGCGAGACCTCATC